GTGGAGGGACAGGACCCGCTAGCCAGGACCCTCCGGGTCGAGTCCCAGCAGGAGCACGGCCACAGATCCCCGGCCTGGGCTGCGGCCAACACCGAGGGCGCGTCTACACATGCATTAGTCCATCTTTCCTAATGTGCATTAAACTTAGAACCTCGGAGCATTTATACACATGCCCCCCTCCGTCGGGGGGGGAAACACTTTAATTAGAGGGGCTCTAAATAAAGCTCCCAGAGCATCTTGTGCATCAGCATCCCCTTTGGTTCAAAATGGCAGCGGGGACGCTGTATCTAAAGACAGCTGAACAAGCTTTAGCTCAAACGCCCCCGCGCTAAATAAAGCAAAAACACTGCTTTTTTTTTTTTTTGAGCGAGGCTCGATGCTCCATGGCCTGTTTTGCTGCTCAGCAGCGCATCGACACGTCCCCTCACGCAACGCTTTAAGGCGCGGTACAACGGGCACGTGTGTAAGACTGACAGCTTTAAAATGGTATTTAAAGGTTTGGGGTTTTTTTACGGTTACGGGTATAAACGCGCCCCTGGGGCCTCGGATAGAGGCTTAACACGTGGCGGGGGGGAAGCAGCGCCCGGCCCCTCCAGCGCCTATTGCGGGGCAGGATGCTCCCTCGTGCTGCCCCGGGGCCGGGATCGCGGGGTTGGTACCGTGGAAGGCGGGCTGAGCGCCGACCCGCAGCAGGTAGACGCTGTTCCGGGCCGCGAAGCCGAAGAGCCGCGCGCCGGCGCTCGCGTCGCTGCAGCGGCTGAGGTACCAGTTGGGCGAGGCGGGCAGGATCCGCTCCGCCGCCATCGCGTGCTTGCGGCTCTGCCGTTGCCCGGCGCTGCCGTCAAGGGTCGCAAAACGACCTTTGACCTCCCCGCCGTTGGTTCTGCGCATGCGCGGGTGCCGCTCTGCGCATGCGCTGGGTTCCGTGCATGCGCGGTCAAAGCGAGGCGGCTACAATGGCGGCGGCTATGGCGCGTGAGTGAAGGGAGGTTGGGGAAGGCGCTGGGCAGTGGTTTTACGGCTCATGTAGGGTTGTGTTTCGTTTTTCTATTCGTGCAGGCCTCGCTTGGGCGCGGTGGAGGCTCCTCGGGGCCTGGCCGGAGAGGTGAGTCTATCCCCGCTCCCCATCTTCCGTGCCCTCAGTGTCGGGGAGGGGAGCGGCTGCATTTTGATGTTGAAGCTGAATGCAAACTATGACACGTGAGTTACGAGACAAGAAACGTGTTTAAAAAAACCTGCAGTGGAAATAGTGGCTTGGAAAAGGCTATTGTCAAAGCAAGTGTGAAATATTTTGGATTAAGTTGCTCTCTCAAAATCTGGTTCGAGGGAGATGGGACCGGCTGATGGCTTCTAACGTGCATTTTCCCATTGCTTCAACAAAGCGAGCATCCTTGGCCTGAATCTGGCCTTCAAGCAGAAGCGTGAATGGGTTTGTTTTTTTTTCCTATTTCAGTTTTAGGAATTGATGTAGTTTTATGGTGACTGACATTGTTCTCATTTACAACTCTTTGCATAGATACTGGGTATTTCTAACCAAAATGTGACGTGACGGTAATTTGAGTTTCTAACAGTTCTTTGGTATCCAGAAGTCTAGATACTATTTGACTTAAGAGTATCAATTAAAACCTCTTTAAAGCTGACTCAGAAAAGTAATATGCCATGCAAGAAAAGAGTTGGCTTAGATGGTTCGCTCCTGGCTTCACTTATTGATTTCATTCACAAAAATCAACAGGTTTGGCTGCCCACTTATCACCTCAGTATTTAGCCAGCAGAGGGCATCATATATATATATATAGATATAGATATATATAGAGGTATATCTATATCTGTCTGTCTATAGATATCTGCATCTCAAACAAACAGCTTTTTGTCTTCTCCGGTTGGGGAACGTTTGAAAGTTGTAGAAATCTGGGATTTTTCTCTGTCTATGCAACACCGTAGTCTTTCATTTCTTCTTGTTAATTATCAGATGAAATTGGCTTAACCATTTAAAAGTAGTTGGAGTAGCTTTCATTGTAAAGGAAGCATACTTCCGACTGTGACCCATAACTTAAAAAAATTAGGCTTTGTTTTATATTTTGCCGTTGGCAAAGCTAAAAATCAGTACTGTAATCTGAAGTTAACAGTCAAATAACCAACAAATGGGTAAATATCAACCAACTTCGGACATTGACATAGGCTAGGGGGTTCATTTTTGTGAGGACCGTTGTTATGTAACGAAAAACCAATGGAGAAAGAACCAGAAAATCAAGAATGGTGTGTAATAGCTATACTGGGCCTGTGCTGTTCAGTTTCTTTATTAGTGACTTGGATGATGGGGTGAAAAGCAGCCTGTCTAAGTTTGCTGCTGATACCAAGATTTGGGGTGAGGTGGGCATGCTAGTAGCGAAGGACAGATTACAGCAGGACCTGGATAGGTGACAGAGGTGGGCTAACGAAAATAGGATGGGTTTCAATACAGACAAGTGCAGGGTGCTGCACTTGGGCAGTGGGAACCAGTGGCACACTTTTATAAGCTTGGAAACTCCCTTCTCGAGAGCACGGTGGCAGAAAGAGATCTTGGAGTCATTATTGACTCCAAGGTGAACATGGGCCGACAATGCGAGGTCTCAGTCAGTAGGGCTAACCTCACCTTGTTGTGCATCCATAGATGCATCTCGAGCAGGTCCAAGGAGGTGATCCTCCCCCTCTATGTGACACTGATCAGGCCCTAGTTGGAGTACTGCGTCCAGTTCTGGGCGCCGCACTTCAAGAGGGATGTGGACAGCATGGAGAGGGTCCAGCGTGATCCGGGAACAGCAGGGCAGACCCAACGAAGAGAGGCTACGGGACCTGAACCTGTTCAGCCTTCTCAAGAGAAGGCTGAGGGGGGACCTGGTGGCCGTCTATAAACTCACTAGGGGGCACCAGCAGGGTTTGGGAGAGACCTTGTTCCCCCTAGCGCCCCCCGGGGTCACAAGAAATAATGGCCACGAATTGTTAGTAAGTTTAGAGTAGACATCAGGAGGCGCTACTTCACAGTCAGTGCGGCTAGGATCTGGAACCAACTTCCAAGGGAAGTGGTGATGGCTCCTATCCTGGGGGTCTTTAGGAGGAGACTTGATGTTTACCTGGCCGGGGTCATTTGAGCCCGGTTTTCTCTCCTGCCCAGGGCAGGGGTCAGACCTGATGATCTACAAGGTCCCTTCCGACCCTTCTTCTATGAACCTACTGCAAACCAGAACTCGTAGGTACAGGCAGTCCTCAGACTTATGACGCAATCGGTTCCTGAAAACCGCGTCTTAAGTTGAAAGGTTGTAACTCAGAACTGATTTTTCCATAGGAAACAATGTTATAAATGGGGGATTGGTTTCTGAACCAAGGCCCGATGCCCTATTTTCACCAAAAATACTCCAGAAGTTTGTACTCGATCAATTATAGATGAGTAATACAGCTACATTACTGTATTTATAGTGTAAATAGTGATTATATTGATTTGGAAGGGCTTCTTTGAGGTGACATTGCTGGACTTTTTGAAAGCCTCTTGGTTGGACTTTTTGAAGGGTTCTTGGCTGGAGTCGTCTTAGGAGTCCTGGATGCAGGTTTTTCTGGAGTCTTGTCTGCTTTCTTAAAGAAAGTGTCCAAGGAAGTTTGGACAGATATTCTCCAGGGAGATGAGCGACACAGCGAACTTGTTTGCTGGCATGGCGTCGCATCGGATCAAGTGTTGTAAAGTCGAAACTTTATGACATCAGTTGAAAGGGGTATCAATTTAGAAACGTTGCAAGTGTGAAACGTCGCAACTTGAAATGTTGTTAGTCGAGGACTGCCTGTACTTAGCTGTGGCATGTATGCATGTGGAGGATGTATGCATCTGAGTGTAACCTGTCGCTCACTTAAATGAGCCCCATGTTATTCATATGTATAAGAAACCTTCTTGGTGTAAAGGGATTTCTTAGACCTCATTTTGCAAGTTAATAGGGAGGTACATGTTACTTTACCAAAACAAACTTGAGCTTGTTATGAACTCTCCTGTTTCATTTATTTAATAAAAATTGGTTTTAACCTGTATACAAAGGATGCGTAATTTGTTTTGCAGGTTCCTGGCATCTGTAAATATTTTCCCACTGTCAAATATGTATACAGGATCATCTCGAGAGATCATTGGAAAATGGGAGAAGAAGAATAGAGTTGTTTATCCTCCACAGTTGCCAGGAGAGCCTCGAAGACCAGCAGTAAGAATTTGCCTGTACTATAATTTCTTAAATACAGCAAATAAAGCTCTGTCCTTTTCTGGTTAATTCTCTGGGGCACTCACTTATGATAGCTATATGCAGTGATTAATCTAAGATTGAGAGATACTTGGTATGTTCATAACTGTATAACAAAAGAAATGGGCAGTATTAGATTTTAGAAATGGGAAAGACCTATTCGATTTTCAAATTGCTGCCTGATATGATCATTTAATGTGCACGTGTTGTGCAAATACAAATCTACAGTTTAAATCTTTTCAGTGTTTGCCAGGCTGAATAACTACTAAACTTGGACGTGACCGAGGAAAAGAATCTGAGCATTTCTTTAATTGCTTCCTTTCTATTCAATCCTTCTAGTATCTAGTTAAGAGAATTTTTTAAAATCTGATTTAGTTCTATCCAGTGCAGAATCAAATGCACAGTGGAAAATACTCCTCTTTTGTGCAGCAAATTCAGATCATAGACTATTCGCTCTCCTTCCTTTCAGTCACCTGAGCTGAAAGTGTAGTTAAACATTAGCAACAAATATGGGTCAATTGATATTGTATGAGAAACTAGAGAAAACGGATGTTGAAAGGCGCGTTGCTGGAGGAAAAGGTGGAACAATTTTTGTGCCCTTGAAATTACCGGTCTGCACCGTGATATGCAGAAAATGATGAAAAACTTTTAAAATATATTCTTCCAACTTTTCTTTGAGCTGACTGTTTTCTACTTGCATTTGTATGGGTTTTTTTTTCTTCACCTGGAAGTAAGAAATTTAACATCAGCTACTCGGCTTGCTGCTTAGCAAAGCTAAAACGTAAAACATCTGCATCTCAAAAGAACAGTGGTTTTTTTTGTTTTTTTTTTAATTTTATTTTTTCAAGTCATCTTATTTTACATGTGCTATGTCACCAGTAATAAGAACTTATACATTCAAATACTGCAAGTAGTCTGCAGTATGCTGGACTGAATAATGAGATGCATATGAAAATGCGATTATTGACTTAGCCACTTATTAAAACACATTCTTTTTTCCCTTTTTTGAAATGGATATCTTGCCGTTAAAATTTACATTCCTGTTAAATTCTGCTTGTTGCTTTTAGTTCCCGCTGGTACAGCAGTGATGCTCAATTAGTTCTTTGGAGACAGGTTTTCTTGTCAATCTCTGACTGAAAGACCACTCCATCTCTGAAGGCCTAATTAAGTTCAGCATGGCACTAGTTTGTAGCAGCTATCCCAGTGAGTTGATTTGATATCAAAGTAACTTCTTTAAAGCTTTTGAATGGCAGATGGGTATTAGAACTACAGGAGAGAGGGGAGGAGGAAATAAAGGGGAAGGTTATTTAAAAAAAATTGTAAACAATGCTCTTCAATTATTTTAATTTCTATAGTAACTTAATTATTCTCCTGCATACATGCATTTTGTAGACCATATCAATCGTATGTGACATGGCTGTCCTGCAGTGCTCATGACACAGTAGCAGGAGTTATAAGCTTGCCTGGATCTTGAAAGGTGATTTTATTTGCTCCCCATGGTATTATGAACCTCTCATCTTCTTGCTTTCAAAATGGAATTAGATACTGTATCTTTTTTCTTAATATTTTGTTTTGTTTTGTTTTGTTTTGTAGGTAATATACCACTGTCGAAGGGAAATAAAATACAGTAAGGACAAGATGTGGTATTTGGCAACACTGGTAAGAGAAAACACTGACTTTACACTTTCTTAACAAGTACACTATGCAACGTGGTTTTTAGTTCCTATTTTTCAAAAAAAAATTCGTTGGCTAAATAAAAGCGTGGTTCGATTCAAATCTGTCCAGCATCTACATAGGGAAGTCCCTGAAAAAATGTTCTTGTGACTTTGTGTGAACTCAGCCATCTTATGCATGTGAATAACTTGCACTTGGACAGAGCCAGCTGACTCCCAACAGCTTTTCTCAAGCCATATGCCTGTGACACCAGTACACTACATTATTGCCTTTATGAAAGGAGTGTGCCCACTGGCTGCTGCTCAGCAGTGGATGATAGGGGAAACTTTCCGTGGAAACAGCAGGGCAAATCTTATGGAAAGTTCCATGGAAAGTAGGCATCTAATGCTTTGCTAATGAGACTTGCATTGAAGATCTTCCCATTTTAAATGGTGCTAAAATCTTGGAAATTTGTGAAGTACAGTATCTATTGAACCAAAATAAGCATCATTCCTAACACTGTGGTTTTAAACATGTTTCTTCTCTTTGTTTAGAAGGATTTAGTGCTTACTGTTAACTTTTTTCTTTTTAATTCTAGATCAAGGGGATGTCCATCGATCAGGCTCTTGCTCAGCTGCAGTTCAATGACAAAAAGGGAGCAAAGGTGATCAGAGAGGTACATACTGAAATTCTTAACACTTCTTGTCAGATTGTTTTCAGCCATGTTTTTCAGCAGTATCCAGAGACTTTGCATTAAGCCTGTCTAGAACATATTAAATCAAAGCTTTCTTGGTTTGAGCATTTACTAATGTATTTTTGTTGAGGCTTCCCCAGGCACAAATGGCCTCTTACCCTAGCACTTCAGCTCCTCGTAATGACACATTGCATTACTACAGCCTCTTAAATTTCCTGCCTGTTTATATGGCTGAAAACACAAAATCCCCATCATTTTCAACTAATTTGCAAATAAATTCTTAATTGTAGAAGTTGTAGATTACCAAAAGGGAGACGCATGGAGTCTTGCCTAGAAAATACTGCCTTTTCATGCAAAATGTTGGAGTTATAGTAATGGGTGACTCAGTTGTTTGCTAGAGGTATCAGTTTCCAGTCTAAAAATTACTGAGTAACAGGTATTCCTCACCAACTTACAATGATGGACAGCACTGAACAATCTTGCACACCTTCAACTTGTATCTTCATCTAGGGCCTGAACCTTGAAGAGGCTGCATGTGCCTAAAACTGTCATTTGCTGAAAATCCCCACTTATAAAATTTCACCATACTTAAATGCAGTAAACACATCTGTAGGAGCTGTCTCCATTCAACAGAAAAGATGGTGACCATCGGCTTGAGTCCCATATGTGATGTTTCTTTAAATAGTTCCTTTCGGGGGGCAGGGGGAATGCACTGGAGTTAAATTTAGAAAACAAAAAGACTTAAATCTTTTTATTATACTAAATCAGTGAAATATTTTGCTGGATTGGTATGCCGTGTCATACTACCATCAAGGTGATTTGTTAATGTTTAATCATCCTGCTAGTAACAGCAGTTGAATGAAGAATAAAAAAGCAGCGAGTGTTAAATTGAAATGCAAATTGAGACTTCCTATTGACAGTTTCCCTTTTAACTGAAACACTTCTGTGTTTTTGGTTTGTCAAGACTGAATGTGCACTTGAATCTGTAGGAGAGCACGTGCAGACATGTGCATACACCTTTACATTTTACAGGTCAAATTTACCACTGGCATAAACAGCTACAATGTCTTAGGTGCCAAAGGAGGTACCTTTGCTTTTGCCAGTGGTAATTTTAGCCTTTTGTGTCCATGCAGATGCTGTCTGCCCTATAGAATGGTCTCCCATTTTCAGAGCTTTTCTGATAGATAAGTTAGCTTCCTCTACCTCAGACTGATCCTTCAAGAATCCATTTCTGCATCTGACAAATATGGAAGCAATTACGGGGCTCTAAAGAATAGAAATTGTGTTGCTTTAATTCCTGATCAGCATTTCTTTTCTTTCTTCATTATAGGTTCTTTTAGAAGCTCAAGAACTGGCAGTGACAAAATACAACGTAGAATTCAAATCAAATTTATACATAGGTAAATTGCTTCTTATTTTTAGTGCATAAAAATCTCTCTCTACAATAATGTGAAATGACTTATTCCTAATAAGATTCCTTGACTTCATCCTCCTCTGAGTCAGGGTCTGCCAATGAAATTTGTAGTTAATAGCTATTCTTTATCAAAGTGCTAATGTTAATAACTAAGGCACCTTATTCTTAGTTGCTCTGTGAAGACTGTGAATACTGCAGATATCAGGCTTTCAGCCAGCAGCCTGTTCTAATGAGTATTGTTACTAGTACACTCCATTGCAGTTGGCAGGGACATCATTTTTAATGAGACATAGATATCAGTCAAAAAGCCAATGGTATTTCTGCTAGCTATATGTTAAGAGAGAGACTTGTTAGGATTAAGAAATGTAAGAGTGGTCAACAAGAAGGAAGCCTGGTATTGTATACTGTGTCGGTGCTCTTCTAATGCCACCAGATGGCATTAACGGTGAAGGTGATTGGAAATGTGATCACTGCTTATGTGGGATTATTAAAGCTGACACTTGTTTCTAAATAAGTTGTTTGGAAGATTATGTTTGCCTTAGAAACATTTCACTGAAAGCAGGAAAATGTTGGTAGTAGGCATAATTTTAATTAAAATACTCCCTGAGAAACATCTTTCATCACACATGGTCACATGCACATATCACATGTTATGTGACAATTGCAACAATTGGCTCCATAGACGAATGCTAGGAAAAGTATGTACTTTTATATAAAATATTGGTCATATTGCCTGATCAGCTGTTCATGCCATCTTTTTCCCTCTTCGTTCTGTTGCTTGCTTGCTTGCTTGCTTTTTTGCTTTTTTTCCCTGCAAGTGCTGTCCTGTTGCCCGGTACTGTTTTCTGTCCAGTCCCTTGGACATTCTGCACACTAACCCCCTCCCCCCCATTCAGTTGCACTCTGATGGGTCATTGTGTTATATGTGGTGATTGGAATTGGAAAGTGTGGGATGGTAAGATTTTAATCTCTCTGTGAAAATCTAAGTATGGTCTCAGAGTGGAGTTGCCAACGGCGTGCTCTATAGAATGACTGGGTGATGTTGTCATTGACACTGACTTCATGGGATGTGTGTTCGTAGCTGCATCGGTTGCATTTCTAAGGACCTAGCAGTTGGAGTAGTGTGCAACTTCTTGTATTTAGTGGTAGAACACTAGCCAGCAATTTATGTTTTATTTTTGAGCAACTGAACTTTTATCAAACTTTGGGGGACAGAAAATACTCTGAATGAATTGAACTGCTTCTAGATGCAGTCTTGCTTACAGTCTTCTCGCCTATCAGATTTCTGTCATTACCTTTCACTGCATGACCATTGCCATAGAAAGTTTCTCTTTCAAACCTAGGATGATGCTGTAGATATCTTTTAAAAGGGAAAATATAAAAATGCCACTTCATAACGATTGGTCCCTGTAGTGAGCAGTTTGGTAGATTATGCCTTCAAGTGCAGGTTTTGGAGAGGGAGAGAGATAAATTAAATGTTTAAGAGTACCAGTAGGCAATTTTACTTAAGTTTCTTCCCCTCTATTTTAATATTATCTTAAATTGGTATTCTGCCTTGATTCCTTTGTTGCTAGTGGCACAGGTCCTATTTATTTAGTCATGTTTATAAACACTCTTGACTTATTACAGGGAGATCAGAAGACTAAATGACCTACAGTAGAGTATATCAAGGGCTTGACAAACACAAATGTTCTGTAGCTAAGGTTGGACCTTTAACTTTAACCCTAGTCCTAAGTGAGTCACAGCAGTATGCATCGTATTCCACTTTAGCCATTGCCAGCCTCTGTGTCTCTGGTAAAACTGGGGCTCATGAGCAAGAATGCTAGAAAATAAAGAATCCGTTTAGTTTCATTGCTAACCTCATGCATTGTGCCATTTTGAGGTTATCTTTGGTCAATCCTGCTTTGCATATGCTGTGTGCTTGCAATGTAATGTCTTGCATCAAATGTTAGACTGATATACAGCATGCCTCTCCATGGAATCTTCCAAGTAACTCTTTAAAAGCTCGTTGCTCCAGGGGACTTAATTGCACACAGCACTGCTACTGTTAAATCCTAAGGACAGCTGCAAGTCTCATATTTGAAAAATCAAGAGTTTCTGATGCCTGGCCTCATTACTTTGTGATTGGTATACTGTGCTTCTTGCAGAGAGATCCACACTTTATTCTTTAGGCCATTCTTGCTCCTCAGCTGGAGGGGGAATGTCATGAGATCTGCCTCATGTCACCCTGAAACAGCCTTGGCCATAGAGCAGAACTGCAGCATTTCATCAGACTCTCAGGGTTGAGAAGGGTTTCTCTAGGTGCAGAATTAGGTCTTCAGGTTAAAGATTTGACAAATCCACTGGAAAAAGCGCAGATGTAACACAGAATCTGTAAGCCTTCACTGGAAACGCATTCCTTTGAGTTAATAGCTGCTTAGGAGAAGTGGAAATTACTGCCTTTATAGGAACTGTGAAAATCTAGTAGGACCCAAATTGAATCTCTTTTGATGTCTTGCTTCATTTTGTGCAAAGTGAGCAAGTTTTCAGTTACTTGCTTCTTAAATCCACCGTTTCATTGCCAAAAGTCATGAGCAACACCACAATAACAGCTCACTGAAAGCAACAAAATAGGAAAAATCCCTTTTACTTCAGCATCCTGTTATGGGTGGTTCCAAAAAGTACTCTGACAAAGGTGGCAGGGCACTTGTGTCCCGTTTCAGAGTAAACTGCAGCATCTTTTCTATTTTTTTTTTTTTTTTTTCCTTCTTTTTAGCCAAGTCCTTGACTGGAAAAGGCCAGTATTTGAAAAAGATCCGCTACCATGGGAGAGGCAAGTTTGGCATCATGGAGAAAGTCAGGTGCCATTACTTTGTGAAGTTGGTGGAAGGTCCTCCACCCCCTCCAGAGCCACCAAAGACTGGGTTTGATCAAGCTAAGGAATATGTGCAGCAGCTCCGAAACAGAACTATTATTAATGCACTGTAATGCTCTACACCAGACATTGTTGTACATTCTTTACAGTTTTGGGAGGAAAAATGCTTGTGAGTATATTTAAAAAAAAATAAATAAATAAATAAAAGAAAGTCTGAGTTGTCTGTTTGGGTGTTCTTAGTTGTCTGTTGCCTTGTGGAAGTCCTGAGTCATGCAGGGTCACAAGACTTTTTTTTTCCCCCCTCCCCTACTTAAATATAGCACTGTGGATCTGCAAGATCCTTGGAAATGCTGTACAGAGTGTTCCTTCTTGGCAATTTGCTGAGAAACATACTAAGTCTTTATTTAAATCCATTCCCCTCTCCCTCCCCCTGAACTGCCAATTCTAGAATGTATGCTGAGAATGCAAGAATTAAGTCAGGAAATTCAGTTGTCCTCAAACTCATGCTCTGGGGCCTCATACAGTAGCTATTTTTGGTACTGTAGGTATATCTGCATGCAAGGAACAACTGGTGCAGATCATGGTGCAAGATCAGGATGTTAACCAGTGAAACCAAAGTTCAGGATTTCGCAATTAGGCAGAGCAGTATAGGGTCAAACAGACAGATGTAGTTCACTTTACAGTTTTAAACTCCCTAATACTGACCCTTTCACTGAATGCTAGTGTAGATTAAAAGTACCTGACACACAAGCTCTTTAAAAGTCATTGTCTAAACTATGCACACGAAGTGCTATTGGTTTTCCAGACTGTGTTTGGTATCTGTTGCTCTGGGGTGCCTTTAACCATTTTTTCAAAGCATGTCTGTTCCTTTTGCCATCAATTAAACTTGGATTCTTATGGACCTGTACTTAATGTCCTCTAACAGGTCACTGAGATTAAGAGGTTGGGGACAAACGTTCAAAGCATCCATTCAGTTTCTCTGGCAGGGAACATGCTGCAGTTTCATTACTGCCCTTGAGATAGCTCTCAGATGCTGGGGAAAGGGAATGATTTTTTTTATAGCCCATTTCGGAACAGCTAATAAAGAATTGACTGAAACTTCAATTTGGTTTCTTTACACTGAGGCAGTAGGTGGCACTATCTAGTTTGAGTGGTGAGACGGCACAGGAAACCCACAGCTTGTTAAAGCTTGGTACTTGGCCCTCATGATGGTATTAATAGTTTCTGATATATGCATAGAGTTATGGCTGCTGTTAGTGGAAGTTTTGTATGGGTAGCAAGAGAATAATATGAAACAGCTTACTATGTTCAGACCAGATAAGCTTTGTACTTTTGAGGCAAGTAGAATAGAGTGCTCCTTGTGCTTAGTGGGGAAAACTTGTTACATACGTGGTCCATAGGGTTGATATAGTTTTCTCATGTCTTGTATTACTGCTGTTTAAAGCTTACATTTATATATGAGGGCCTTTCTTCCCAAGCACTTAATCATTTCTCATGGCCAGCTGAAGTCTTACAGATAAGAGAAGCCAAATACAAGGTGAACTTCTGTGATGCTTGTAATAGCATTGCCTTAATAGGTGCCAAGCATGAAAAGAGAATGACCTGTAATTTTGCTTATGCAAGTGTCCAGAATACATGCCGTCCCTTCAGCTCTGGAAGTATCACACTGTGACTGTGATGTGAGATGGGAGAGGTGTTTAGGTTCTTATGTGAGTACTACCCCCATTATGCTGGCGGTTCTTTCTCTGCTGGGCTTTGATTTCTACAGCAGCTTCTGTGAAAAAGAGAAGATTGCTATGAGAATACAAGCTGCATCTTCCACTTTTTAATATTTTTCGTTCACATGAACTGCAGGGCCCTTGTTCTCGCCTACCTGTAACATCTCTGGTTAGTTCTAAGGCCCTCATTCCATCTCTCATAAGTTGTACTAGGTAGTGTGGGTCCTAAAGAAAGTGGGCAAGGTGTTTGCAGACCAGGGCCAGTATTGGTGCCTCTACCCACTAGTTACCACTGCATCCTATCTGACGTTATAGTCACTAACACTTCTATTTTTAGGTTTGTTTCCCCTGAGAATCTCATCCCTAACGAAATGGAGAAGAGGTACTCTTCTGTGCTACTTGTAAATGCCTGGTGCATGTTGAAGAACTACTCTTAAATTTTCCTGCTCCTATCCATAGCTGCAGTGGTACAACTACATTTAGAAACTCCTGCATCACATTGCATATGGTTTAAGTTATAACAGACTCAGATGACTTAATCCATTTGGGGTCACGTGCCTGGGGAAGGAAAACCATTGAACTTCAAAATATACAGATCCAAATTTAACAGTGATTGTCACTTAACCTCTGTTAAGTCTCAGTTTCCAGGAATCCTTTCAAGTTGTCTCTCTTCTGTGCATTGAAGATTGCCCTTCAGATGTTCACCTGACCTTCAGACAAGGTCCTGTCCTTATATGGATATCCTTGCTCTATTAGCAATCTGCAGGTTGTGGGGTGAGGGGAAGGAAAGATGTGGCTGTGCCCTTTTCAGCTGCTTTATCATGCACAAAGACAGCCCAGGCACTTCTTAAAAATATCCTGAACTGCTTTTTATTTCCCATTTAGAATGCAGCTTGTGTTTGGCCTGTGATAAATGGAGACCTAGTGCAATGATGGCATTGCAAGAGGCAAGGTGAGCTACAGAGGAAGGAATTTTTAGTCATTGTTAACTTTTTCTTACCTAAGGGTTTTGACATCAGTGACTAGCTCTTTAAATGAAGAAAATTTTTGTTAAGGCTTGTGTTCTTGTCCTTTCAGTTAGGGCATAGGTCTTTCCTGGTTTCTGCTGCATATTGCAGCCAGTTTTGTCACTCCTGGGGTTTTTTTTTCTCACACATTTGAAATCTCAGGGGAAGAGAAACCCTTTCAGGCTTCCTTTCTGATTCAGTGAAAGAAGCTGAGCTCAATACTAGAAAAAAATCTCTGCAGGTCATTTTTCAACTCCATAGTACTTCTTTCACTTACAAATGTGTTCTACTTTCAGTTGATCATTACACTACATACTACGGTATCATGATACCCCTGCCCTATTATATTCTGAGAAACTGGATGACTTGGGGAAAGAATGAGTCTGAACTAGCATGGCTGGTATCTTTTCACTAGTAATGAGGAAGAAATGGCTTGGCAGTAAAGGAGGTTTACTTGTTGGTGCATAAGAACTTTGTGGAAGTTTAACTGGAATCTGCTCTGGACAGTTCATTACATCTCTAATGGTAAAGTTTTATGCTGTCAGGTTCTATATATACATAAAGTCTCCTTTTTTTTGCTTTCCACAGTGCATTTCTGGTAATTAGTATATCTGTATTTCAGTTAGGTATCTGAGAGAAGGCCAGGCAGAGAGTTCTATATTAAGAACTATAACAGGCCTTTAGTAGAAGGTGATCATTAGCAGTGCAACCTCCAATTAAGGAACACTCTTGAGTGGAGCCCTGTAGGGGGAGGTGTTAATACCTAGCCCTTTAATACTAATTTTATTAAACATTAATATATAATGCTGAGCTAACACTGCCCTATATCTGCTGATTATACAGAAAATGGCAAGCAAACAAGCAGGCGTGAAGGCAATTCATGGCTTCAGTGAGGCTGAGAGAAATTAGAGCTTCGGGCTGTACTCAACAACATAAGAGTTACTGGAAGGAAATCTTGAAGCACAATACTAAAACACCCACTAGAGCTGACTGATGACAGCCAGCAATGAACTACAGCAAAGGCAATTATTAGTGTTACCTCATCCTAATGCATACCTTTCCAGTGCTCAGTAGTTAGACCAGTACTTAAGCCCCTTTGTTTAAATAGAGTCCAGAGGTGGAGTTTGCTGGGAAACTCTCTCTCACCTTCCTTCACTGTAAGGTTGGTGAAAGAAAGCAGGTTAGCAAGGAAAAGGGAACTTTTTGGGACCAAAGAGCAGTGAACAGGTCAGCTTACAGGGGAGTTTGCTAGGGAAGGTCTGTTTGGAAAGAGGGACAGGAAGAAAGAGGCAGTGGATTAAGAGACCCAGAGAAATGTCTGGAGGACATTGCAATACCAGAGCTACTGCCAGCTCATCCTCTGCTTGCACCTCTGAGCTATCTATCCAGGCATGACCACTCACCATCAAGGCTTCCACCCAGGTCCTGGTTTGGGCTGTGGAGACTGCAGCTCCTTGCAGGTTCCTTCCAGTGATGGCCAGGTTGGGGAGTGCCTGTGATGTGAGCATTGCCTCCTGGTGGTGTCCCTCAGGGAGTAGGCAAGAGAGCTACAGGAGGTAGTGGCAAGGTCCTGAAACATCCTCCGCCATGAGGACTTCATCGATTCGATGCCGAAGGAGACCTCTAGGACTGCCAGAGGCAGTGTTGGAGAAGGAAGAGGACATGGACTCCCAGGAAGGTGGAAGCTGGAAGCCTGTGGCCTCAGGCATTGGACACATCCTGCAGATCAATGCATGGCAGCACAGATGGTGTCACCAGCAGGACTTTGGCTTCTTCGCTCGTGAGATGTTGTTCCAAGAAGAAGGATTGCTAGGAGGGAAGAGCATCTTCTCAGATCAGCTTGCTTACCTATTGAGGGGGGGCTTTAAAATAGGTTGGCCGGGGGTGGAGACCAAAGCCCCGAAGTAAGTGGGGAAGCAGGTGACCTGGCGGAAGCACAAGCAGGAGGGGGCAACTTTCTCATTCTTCTTGAGAAAGTAGAGCAATTGGGTAGTTACCTTGCTTGTCTACACGAATGCACAGAGCCTGGGAAACGAGCAGGAAGAACTGGAAATCCTTGCACAGTCACAGAACTAAGACACGATTGAAATAACAAAGACTTGGTGGGAGTTTGCATGGCTGGAGTGCTGTCATGGATGGGTATAAACTGTTCAGGAAGGATGGGAGGGGAAAAGAGAGGAGGAGCTGTTCTTTATGTAAAAGAGCCATATCGTTGCTCAGAGCTCCAGTATAAAACTAGAGGTAGGCCTGTTGAAAGTCTCTGGGAGGAGAGCAACAAGAGTGACACCATGCTGGGGGTCTGCTATAGACCACCAGACCAGGAGAAAGTGGTGGATGAGGCTTTCTTCAAACAGCTAGCAGAAGTTTCCTGATCACAGGCTCTGGTTTTCATGGGGGACTTCAATCACTTTCACATCTGCTGGGAGGGCAATACAGCTTCAGACAGGCAATCCAGGAAGGGGACAACTTCCTGGTGCAAATG